GTCAAATCAACATAGAAGGGGGGTCTTTCCATTAAAAATGGATATTTCAAACTATATGAATTATATATATTTTCAATTGATGTATTTTAACGTATTCAAAAAACACTTCATTGTGAGATTTTCAGTGAACGATTTCATAAAAACGCAACACGTGTTTCACTATACAATAGCTTCTTCCAGAGTGTCTGTATATTCTATATATTCAATGCTCAATATACCTTATTTCACAATTTGAAGTGCCTTCATTCCAAGTACGTGATTTTTATCTAAGTTTGTAATGAATTAAATTACTTGCGCTCATGTCCCAGTTTCCACATTTGAAAAAATATTTAGTAACGGGGAGTTATTCAATTCTAATTGAGCATCCAGTAAATGCCACGAATTGAGTTTCAAACTCTTCTCTTCTAAATGTAACACATCGTATTCATGATTGAATGCATGTCCTTCTGCTGAAAGGTGATTTGCAAATGTGAAATTGGTCTTTCTATTTACAAAACTACTGCATTTCTCTTTGATGTTCTTTAAAGTTTGGGAAAATGTTCTCCTGTTTGACCAATATACAGTTTTGATCAAGATCCACAAATCAGCTCATATACTCTTGATCTACTCTCCTTGTGTATTGTATTTTGTATATTTCGGTCACTCTATCTTGGATTTGGATAGACTTTAGAAACCTAAAATCTAGATGCACACTGAGAAAGGATTTTAAAAAGTTCCAACTGGGGTGCCAGTCGTACTGGAAAAAGGCGCCTCTATAAAACAAAATTATTTCTTCATCACTGTTTCTCCAGCTCTTACATTTTCGTTTTGAATAAAAAATTAGATACAATAATTTTTTTATGTTATCGAAGAAAAAGTCTTTGGTGGATGTTATCAGTTCATGTAGGATATCATACATTGTTGATTTGATACATGAGATGCCACTACATATTAAAAACGCCTGAACGAAAAAGATAGTAATCAAAATTACGAATATCACGAAAAGACATCATTTCAACTCATTTACGAGTACGTGCAACAAAACTATTGATAGTGAATAGCAGTACAGGATGATCTGGAATGTAAAATACTAGATAAGGCAAAATTGTGAAATTAATTCAGGTTGGTATACATTTATGGTTGGTAGGCCTTGATGGTTTACCTGTATGGGTTACCTTTATAACATAAATAGGGATAGCTCACATTAGTTTATAGTTTTAATCTTCCTCTTTGAAGATGATCCCTTGGTGATCGAAACACGTGTGTCGAGGTGTTAAAAATAACGATTTGGTGTTGGGAAAAAACTCCAGTAATATTCATTACTACACCAGTGATTTTTCTTATA